TAATTTATTTATGCTCGTTTTTAGTTTAGGATTTATTATGTTTTTATTATTTTAGAGTCTTTTATGGTTAGGATTTGCTTATTTATAAGTTTCTTTATTATAGTTTAGGTAGGAGTCCTTTTCCTAGTGAAAAAGGAGTCTTTTTAGCACTTATAAATAGGTTGCCAATTAGGTTTATTTTGATGGACGAATTTTTTGATGAATTAATTGAGTTTTTGAGAGATCAATTCTCCTTTGCTGTTCTACAGCATTCTTCGGGATTGTACAAGTGGATTCTTGTAAGTTTCTTAGCGCCAGGATTCTTGTAATTTTCTTAGCGCCATAATAATAGTTTCTTGTTCTATATAACCACGGGGTCAATATTATAATTCACCTTGATAATGATGGTTTCTAGCTCTTTATAGCTATGGGGTCATTATTCCTTACTTCCGCCAAACTTGAATCTTTGTTTTTGGATGTCTTCGATCTTGCTTCCGCGTAAGGTATTGGGTCCCGTAACGAGTTCTACAGGGTTTATAGGGTCCCGTAACGAGTTCTACGGGGTTCGTATCAACTATTTTGACACAGGGCACGTGTGTATGCTACTATACTGATTTATATACATATTCAGGATTTTATTGATTGGGTTAATATTGCAAGTTCTTTTTTATGTTTGCAAATACTGTAGCACAATGAAAACAAGTTTGAAAGTCTTCTGCACACATCATCTTGAATATTCTAAATATTCGTATTTTGCCTATTTAGTTTAGAGGAAGATTTTAAAGTAAAGTCAGGACATAAATTCTCGACGCAGGGAATTTTTTATTCTAACTGTTGTTTGAATAAATTTGTGAAAATGGCTTCAATCAATGATACTACTCCTAAGGTTGTCGGCGCGGCCGAAAAACCAAACAAATTCACGGGCACGGACTTACCTACTTGGAAGAACGAAATGTTCTTCTAGCTTATTACCATGAATTTGGCGAAATTTCTCAACGAGGAGCCACCTAAGGCGAAGGAAGGAGAAACTCCCGAAAATAACAAGGAAGTCTTCCTAGCGATTTATGCGTGGAGTTACTATGATTTTCTATGCCGTAACTACATCTTGAATTGCTTGGACGAACCGTTGTACAAAGTTTATAGTCCTATAAAGACTGCCAAACTTTTGTGGGATAGTTTGTGCAAGAAATACAAGTCTTAAGATGCGGGTTATAGGAAATTTATAGTGGACAAATTCCAATTTTATCGAATGGTCGATAGCAAAACTGTGAGTGAGCAAGTGAATGAACTTCAACTCATGATTTACGGCATTCTCGCCGAGGGTCATGAGGTAAGTGAATCCTATCAAGTGGCTTCCATAATTGGAAAGCTTCCACCGAGTTGGACGGAGTTCAAACACTACCTAAGGCACAAGAAATCGGTTGCCAAATGGACGATGGAGGAACTCATAGCAAGACTCAAGACCGAGGACGGTAATAAAATTACCGACAAGGATGGTCAATACGTAGCTAAGGCACACGTAGTGGAGAGCTCGAAGCAGAGCAACAAGCGAAAGGGTCCTATATTTAACAAAGGACCAAGCAATGAGAAAAATAAGAGATTCACTGGAGCGTGCTTTGTTTGTGGAAAGAATGGACACCTTGCAAAGGATTGTCGCCACTGCAAAGAAAATAATAAAAATGAAGGGAATGTCACCATTCACTTAGCCACTTCCGAAAACGACAATATGCACCTTTCGGCAGCTGTAACAGAGGCCTACCTATTGAGCGATACTCGAGAATGGTGGGTAGACACCGGGGCAACTCGTCACATTTGCTATGACAAGAGCATGTTCTCCTCCTACAAAAAGTTGGAGCAAGAACATAAGCTCTTCATGGGAAATGATGTTTATTCGGTGGTTGAAGGACAAAGACAAGTGATCCTAAAATTCACTTCCAGAAAGGAAGTTACCTTGAACGATGTGCTACATGTTCCGGATATTAGGAAGAACATAATCAGTGGCTCTATCCAACCAAGAAAGGTTTCAAGTTGGTTTTTGAGTCGGACAAATTTGTGCTAACCAAAGGAGGGTTCTACGTGGGAAAGGGGTACATATGTGACGGTCTATTTAAGGCGAACGTAGCCGTTATCGGTAAGAACTAAGCTACTAAATTTATATTAATAATTTTTAGTTTATATGGTTTATTTGCATTTTGTGATATGAGTTGTAAGAACTTATTATGTTGGAAAATATCGTGTGTAAAACAAGGTTTTATTATACAAGTTTTTGACCAGTATGTTTTTTTCAAAATTGCCCTATATTTTATAAGTCTGTATGAAATTCAAAATTTTTAAATTATATAAATATTTTATTCTTTCTTTTGAAACAATACTGTTTTCAAACAAATGAGTTGGTTGAATTTGGACATAATCAATTCTTTTTTTTTTTTGATTGAAGATGTAAATAGATAAATCAAAAAAAGTCGTAGACAATTACAACGGGCATACCCGAGGGAATTGAGGCACTAATGGATAGCTATATGCCATCAAAAAACATAAAAGCAACATAAAAACATCAAGTTCGTAAAACATGAAAAGTATCGTTTGGGGGTAAGCCCCAAGCCCTAGTTTGCATCGATTTGGCCTATCATGAATCGGCCTCCACTGCTGGTCGTCAATTCCGGATGCTGCATAAACATAGCTGAGTAAACGTAGGTTTTGATCCTCCGAGTAATAGCGGTAGCCGTCGTTTCCGTCATGTCGAATTTCATCCTATTCCGAGCTGCCCAAATGTGGTAAACAACACTTGCCAAAGCACATCTCCTCGCCTTGCTTCGGTAAGATTTGCCCTTGACATCCTTTACGAGCCACTTCAATGCTGCCCGTAGCGTAGTCGGTCGTTGGGAGATCCCCAACCAAACACGAATGCGGTCCCATACATCTCTCGAGATGCTACATCGAAAGAATAAGTGCTCACGGTCTTCATTCCCCGCTCCGCACAAAACACATGTCTTCTCCACCGTCGCGAACTTTGCCAAATTTTCTAGGGTTTGCAACCGATCAAGGGCAGCTAACCATAGAATGAAAGAGTGCTTGGGAGTCATCGAGTGGTCCCAAATCCGTCGGCCCCAAGGTGGCTCCCCAGTTGGGGCCCTAATCCAGTCGTAGACTCTGCCAACCGTAATCTTCCCCATGCTCGAAAACGTCTCCATTCGAGCAAGAAGCAAGGGAATGGACCCCGCCTTGCCCACGATTTCATCCCGAATGCAGCAAATATTTTTAAAAAACGGGGGTGAAGTCGCCGACGGTTGCCATTCCCACACGGCCGTGCCTTTGAGATAAAACTCGTTCACCCATTGGATCCATAAGGAGTCCTTTTTCAGATGGATGTCCCAAAGATCCTTCACAAGCAAGCTACGGTTCCACGTGCGCAAACACCGAAGCCCCAGCCCCCCATCGGCCTTCGGCTTGCACAAGTGCTCCCACCCGACTTTAGGAGAACTAGTTCCCCACAAGAAATCCCGCGCCATATCCTCTATGCGACCAATAACTGTAATCGGTACCGAGAAAATCGAAATCCAATAGCAACACGTACCTTGAACAACAGCCTTCAAAATCTCTAACCGACCCGCGTAAGATAACGTGTGCCCCTTCCAAGCTCCGATGGCATGCTCGATTTTGTCTAGAAGAGGTTGATAATTCAGCACTCGCAGTTTTGACGCAGCAAGTGGAATACCTAAGTATCGAAATGGGAAGGTGCCGGTGGCAAATCCGAATTCCTCCTCAATCGATGTGCGGTCGGCCACATGAACTCCGGCAAGAAAAATGTTCGACTTCAGGTTATTCACTTGAAGCCCCGAGGCACGGCCGAATTCAAGTACCGTAGTGGCAAGCGTACGAACGGATGCAGCGTCACCTCTCGAAAATAGCATCAAATCGTCGGCAAAGATGAAATGCGTTAATTTGTGCACGTGGCACATCGGATGGTAGTTGAGCTCTTGCTCCATCGATCGTGTATGCAGCAGTCTCGATAGATATTCCATGCATATAACGAAGAGATAAGGGGATAACGGATCCCCTTGGCGAAGCCCTCTCATCCCCGGAAAAAACCCCTTCGTCACTCCATTAACCGACACCGTATAGGAGACCGATGTCACACATTCCATAATCCATCGAACAACCAAATCCGGGAACCCTAACTCCACCAACATTGACCGCAAAAAGTCCCAATTTACGGAGTCGTAGGCCTTCCGTAAATCCATCTTTATCATGCAACGGGGAGAAATCCTCTTGCGCTCGTAGCCCCTCATGAGCTGCTCCACCATATGTATGTTGTCCGTGATAGATCGCCCACTCACAAAAGCAGACTGAGCCCGATCTATGATAGAGGGCAGCACCTTCTCAATTCGCTTCGTAATTACCTTCGCAATCACCTTGTAAATTACGTTGCAGCAAGCGATAGGCCGAAAATCACCTACCGTTTCGGCTTGGGCTGATTTTGGTATGAACACCAAAACCGTGGTATCCCATTGTTTAAGCAGCTCACCACTGCGGAAGAACTCCAAGACTGCCTCGGTAAGGAGAGGTCCAACTGTCGACCATGCAACCTTGAAAAAGAGGGTCGTGTACCCATCCGGTCCCGGCGCCTTATCGTCAGCGATATCGAAAAGTGCTTCCCGAATCTCCACCCCCGTCACCGGTTGAATCAGCCCATCACGGTCCTCCTCTCCCAGTCTCGGCCCCGTGGCAATAACGTGATTATCAACCGGTTCGCATGTAGTGTGGGTGCCCAAGAAATTTCGATAATATTTCTCGAATTAACCTAGTACCTCATCTCGGGATGTTGTGAACGTGCCATCCTCCTTGCGAAGTGCTGTAATGTTGTTTCGTTTAGCATTTCGCTTCGCCATCCCATGAAAAAATTTCGTCGTACGATCCGAGTCTCGTAAGTGGTGCAGCTTCGCCTTTTGATAGAAAAAACTCTTCTCCGCTTTCGCCAAGAAACGATATTTCTCCACCTTAGCCATCATTTCCCCACATAGTTATTGATTATGGGGGTCATTATGGTAGATTTGCTGAATTTCCTCGAGCTCCCCTCCCGCACGTTTCACCCGTTCAGATATGTGCCCGAACTCTCGCCTATTGAAACGTTTAAGAGGGTGCTTAAGGGCCTTGAGGTTCTTGCACACGGCCCACTGACGGCTGCCCTGGTAGTTCGCCGTCCATATCTCCTTAACTTCACGTTGGAAATCGTCGTGCTGAGTCCACATATTGAAAAAACAAAAAGGCCGAGATGCCGGGGGTTCGGTCCCACCTAATCGCACAATCACTGGAGAGTGGTCCGACACGCCCCCAAATGGCAGGAAGTGTGCCGAACTAGCTTCAAACACATCGCGCCACGTTTGATTTACAAGCGCACGGTCAAGTTTACTCCACACCGTATGGTTCGTCCACGTATATTGAAATCCGGTTGAGGGTAAGTCCTCAAGTCCACTTCGTCGAAAGCATGTCTGTATATCGTTCAACAAATAGGGGGTCATCAAGTTGCCACCCGATTTCTCCTCCGGCTTAAGCACCACGTTGAAATCACCCAAGCAAAGCCACGGCTCAGAAATATTCGACCCAAACTCCACCAACGAATGCCATAGCGGCCGTCTCGTAACCGGTGTGAAAAGCCCATACACAAAGCTAGCGTAGAATAGTCGTTTGGTGACCAGACACGTTACCTTGCAATGGATCACCTGCGACGTCATACCAAGAACTTCCACCCGAGCCACATCCGGATTCCAAATAACGAGGATCCGGCCAGCCGTGTGTAGATGAAAATTGTCGGCCTTCATCCAGTGCCGGAAACGCCGTTCCACGATCGAGTTCAACGTTCCCGGGTCCCAAATCTTCGTCTCCAATAAGCCACAAACTGAAAGCTTGTGCTTACCCAGGAGGTCCTCGACCTCCTTCTGCGTGAGGGAGTTGAGCAACCCCCTCACATTCCAACATCCCACGATCATTTCGTCTTTGGGGGTTTGAGGCCCCCCCGCGGCTCTGCAGTGTCACGGTCATCACGAACAATATTCGACTCACTTTCCACCACCGAATTTGATTCCATTTCTTTAGGTAGCAGAAGCGCATCCGAAGGTAAATACTTCTTCTTGATAGTAAACTTCGACTTGGGGGCTGTTCCCGGGGAAGTTGGAGAGTGTAAGGCATTAAACTCCACCAAGGATCCCCGATCATCGTCATCGGCTGCATAGCACTCGGTCGATCCATCCTCCGAAACACCATCATCAACACCCACGGTCAACCCGTCAACCTCGGTTTCCGGCTCCTTTTTCGGCAATTGCTCATCCACAAGCACCGTTCTCTTGCCGGCCCATACCGTGGTCACCGGTGGGTCTTTTGTAACACTCACCACCGGTTTAGGATTCCGACTTCGTCCACGTTTCACCACCGCCTCCGCTCGACATTGATCCGTTTTATGCATAAGAGTCTGGCATTTCGAGCAAAACACTGGCTCATAGCTGTACTCGATTGGGGCCTCATAGCTGTTCCCTTTCGCATTGATCAATGTGAGAGATCGTCGTAATGGTTTCGATGCGTCCACCTCCACCTGTAGACGAGCAAAACCTAGCCTCCCCATCTCACTCGTAACCTTGTCCATTTGTACCGGTTTGCCTATCTTCTGAGCTATCTTACTCAACGCCTTTTTGTTGTAGAGCTCCGCAGAGATGTTGCGGATAATCACCCAAACCGGTACAAACATCATGTCGTTGATGTCAAAATTGAAGAAATCCGGCATGGTGCGAATGTATAGTGTCGCCAGGCCATGTTCGAATTTCCCCACCTCCACCACCTTCATCCGATCTTGGTCCGTTGTGAATTTGAACACAATCCACCCCGTAGGGTGAATCTGAAACTTCACCGGGACCTCCCATTGAGCCTTGATCGCACGTATGGCCTCAACACCGGGGAATTTCCCCGGAAAATACGCCACGACCAAGAACACGCCCTTCGTTCCCCAATCTGTCTCGTCGTCTTCTTCAAAACGTAGGACGTTCGAATCATCAAGTCCTGTAACCGAGTCCAAGGCCAAATCCTCCGGAGGTGGCGGTTTGCCCTTGAAGAACTGTGCCCAATTCGCTCGTCCACCATCGACGGAGTGTGCCCGATTTTCACCTGCCGTAGATGTCTCGGCATGTGGAATTGTCTTCGCCGATGTAGCCGTATTCGTCGGAGGAGTGACCGGTTTTTGCCCGGAGGGTGCCGAGGCAGCACCGTCCCCATCCCCGATCACCCCTTTGCCATTACCGGCCGTGGTCGGTTTCGGTGCACCGGCCCCGGTTGCCGTTCCTTTCCCCTTGTCCACCACCGTAGCCCCTGCCTTCTTCCTAGCCATAGTGGTCGTCAAAACCTAACCCCTTGTAACGCCCTACCCAAAACCCTAGCCGTCAAGCCCACCTACACCGGCCACAAACCCTAGCCCACCAAGGAACCCTAGCCGCCCACACCGGCCGTGAAACCCTAGCCGCCCACCGCCGATCTGCCAACCCGAGCCCCACGGCCCACCCGGCCCACCGAAACCCTAACCGACTCGGCTGTGTGGAACCCTAGCCGTCAACGGCGCCGTCAATACACCACCGGCAAGAATGGCCGATAGCTCACCTCCGGCGTGTACGTTGCCGGAAAACCACCAAATCACACCGTAGCCTCCAAAATCCACGCCGCTAACACAAGGACGTGGTAAGTCCTCACCGAATCGTAGATCCGGCCAATCCACGAATACCAAACGATCAACACACACAAGCACCGTCGAAATCACGTACACAAACTTGAAAGACGAAATAGAGGACGAAAACGAAACTCCCTTACCCGAAGACAGAACCCCACAAAATCACCCTCGTAATGAGTCCGCCGATGAGACGAGTTGATTGGTGGCGAAACCAAGCCAATCCGATCACCGGAGATGGAGGAGCGGCCGCCGGAAGGCACCCTCTTGGTCGAGAAAACCTAGGGGGCGGAAAAATCTTTTCCTAACCTTGGGGAGCGTTTTTTCTGTTCAGGACATAATCAATTCTTGTTTATACTTTAAATAGTTTTAATGTTGTTTGAATTATTTGTTTTCATAAAATCTGTGAATTCTTTGTCAAAAGAATTGTGTAATGATTTTGTGCCATCATTTGTAACAAAATAAGACTTTCAAATTTTGAGTTTAATAAAATACGAAGCCGTAAATGTATTTGTGAAATACAATGCGCAAGTGTGTGCAAGAATAATTCTTCAAATTAATACACACTATTCACGTCAAATGGGTTAGCCATACGTTAAAATCAAAAATTTAAATACACGACTAAATTTGGGTTTATCAAACAACTTGTGGGAGAAGCTCCTTATATACCTAATGGTATATTAAATAGAGTTTCACACAAGAAGGAGAATAACATTATGTTTTAAAAACATATAAAATTGAGCTATAAATATCTCAACATGTTGGAGTATTTGACTACAAGTTAAATATGTTCTTATATGTCCTTGAGGGATATAGCGAGGAAATATAATTAGACATTGATTAAAAAACAATCAATTAACAATTGCTCTCTCTCATACTTTACGATAGTAAGTCTCGACATATTCGTCGTAGACATATAACGCGATACATTTACTCTCTAATGGAATAAATTTTCATTGATTTTGAGAAGTTCAAAGATAACCTAGTGGATCCATTTAATAAGGTTTATCTAGTGAGAGAGTTAAATGTGCATAGATGGGAATAATTTTAAAGCCTAAATAACTAAGTTACCTTATACGAAAACCTAACTTGGAGACTGGAGATCCCACGGACCAAGTTCAATAGGACAACCAGTTATGTGTAATTTAAATGAATGAAGCACTTAGGAGTTTAACTCCATCTTATTCCTATAATGTAATAAGTGCAACCTACGACGTTCAAAAAGGTTAAACTATTGCTTTTAATGACGTCTATATCTTGTAAATTACAAGTGGGGTATAGTAGGATACTCTCTATAGATGCGGTCACCTATGTTAGTGTGAGCTGGGTCCGCTCGTTGAGAATTCTTAAAGCTGGAATTCACTAAAGCACTCGCAGAACCCAAGGATGTTCAGGGCCAAAACGAAGACAACCGAGAACTTGAACAAGTTCGTTTAGTATGGTGTTAAGTTTATTGTCTTGGTTTACACAAACAGCCAACAGTTCAAGATGAAATAATTCGTCGATTGGCTAAGTGAATCCGATAAGCTTTAACTATGGAAAGTTTAACATGAAATATTTCACCTATCCCGATGTTGTACTATTCACTAAGGGATTTTGACAAACATATCTTATGCGATAAGATTGGAAGAACAATTTTATTCATGTGGGGGAATGTTGGAACTTTCATGATTTCCAATAATTAATATTGAGTCATATTAATTAAATTATGTAAAGATTAATTTCGTTTATTTACTTGATCATAATCAGGAAGTAAAGTGAATGAAAATTGTCTTGATTAAATGGTTAAAGTTCAAAAGATGTGCGCTCGATGTGATCGAGTGATAGGACTAGTTTGGGTTTAGGTGTCCAGAATTATTACTTTTGGGGACATTAAGTAATTAGTCAAATTAGTTGACCCAAAATCTAAATAATAAAATATTGGGCTCAAACCAAATATTTAATTAATTGGCCCATGGCTAATTTAATTTTCCTACGTTTTGAACTCGGTGAAAAGAACAGACACAACTTTCTGCTTCTTCTTCCAACCATTGCAACCCTCTATGAATGGATCTCTACCACCTATGAATAAAGACAGAATATGGCCAATTATGTACTGAATTTTATCGGCAATTAAGAGATAGTTCTTCATATTCTTCTTTTTCTTCGTCAAAATTTCGTTCGTTGTTCAAGTTCGCCGTGGGTCGAATATTTGTGCAAATATTTGACAACTGATCGTTTTACCTTGGGAGACTACCGTGAAGAGACCGTGCACCGTTGACAGCCCGGAAATATTGTCTTAAGGGAATTGCTTTCGCAAGCCTTGATCGTTCTTTCTGTTTTTCACAATTCCTCTTTTCGACAAACAAGTAAGTATTTTTCGTTTACGCAGATTGTTATAAATTACACCAACAAAGAATACAAAGAGAGAAGTGCAAATCATCTCTTTAACGAATAAAACACAAGTTGATTTCTCGCAAACCAATTCCTAGACTCTATGAAAATATTGTTTAACAACTCTTTAGGAATACAAATCAACATTCAAAGAATACAAATAGAGAAGCCAAGATCTTCTTTATAATCAAGTTCATTTTTTCGCAAATCAATTCCTAGAATCTATGATATGGTATTGCTTAATGGTTCTCCAGGAATACAAATCAATATTTAATGATATTGAATACATAACAGACTCAATTATGTTGTGAGACAATCATAAAAAAAACTAGGTGTTATAGAAAATGTTCCAAGACATGAAATTATGTGCTCTCAACTCTCTGCAGAAAAGGTGAGAAATGAACTGAGTTCTTCTCCTATTGATAAATTTGGAGGGCTCCTTTATCCTGCACGAAATAAACACACTAGGAGACATAATGGGTGAGTGAGATAATGAGTTCATGGCCTAATTAAACATGTGCATAAATAATTACTTACTAAGCTAGAAATAACCGCCCACTAACTAATAATAATACAACCGATTATTATTTAAATAAATACATAAAATTGGTTTACGAAAGTCAAAACATTAAATTATATTTGACGTTAATAGTCAAGTATACAACACTTTCAAATCAGACCAGCCGCACTTTTGCAATTTGCTAAATGTCCTTTATTCTTCATACCTCTACCTCAAATCTGTTGTACCTCCGCTCCCCCTTGCCATGGTCGATGCTCTGCCCACACACCTACATACACACATACTCCACAATACACACTCACACATACAATTTTTGTTACACTCGTTCATCTCTGTTGAAACCACCAAAATGAGAAAATATGAAGAATTGTTTGGTGATGGTGATGGTGTTG